TGCACGTATATAAAAAACTTTTAATGTCTGTGTGTTCAGATTTAAGTTAAGAAAACAATGTCCTGTTGAGTTGTTAGCAATGCAGCCAGTATCGTAGTGTCCCTCTGTTCTTCCAGTAATCAAATGCACCATAATGGCAGCTGAGGTTCCCAGTACATTTCATGGTAATGTTGAGCTTTTTCCACCACCGTCTGCAAAATGCCCCCTCACCCTCCCTCACCCCTCCAACATGCTAACCAAAGCCTTTCAGTCCTGTGGACAGATGACTCCTGAAATTACAGCTGCAGGCACCAAACAAACCTCATTATCATGAGCTGCACAGTTTCCTTCAGTAATGAAAGCAGGATGAATGTGTGCGTTCATCATGCCTTTATTCTCTGGGAGATTGCTCTGCTATTTATTGAGACGCTTCCTCTGCTTTCTTGGAGAAAATTGCTGAATTATAAGAAATAATAATAAACTGCGTCATTATGCGACAAACCTTCTTCGTTTTAAACTCCATTTTCACTTCAACTGACTGAAATCTGAGGTGTTTGGAGTCTTTAAATTTAGCAGTGAGTCCACAAAAACCCAGTCCAAACCACAAAGTGGAGGGAAAAAAGAAACCACAGTGGTTTCTGCCAAGAACAGTGTTGGCCTTGTTAAATTCGGGTTACGGTATGCTGCTCGACAGCTCCGTCCACTTCCTGTGTTGACGTTGAGGACCACGGAGCTCAAAGAGGCTTTAATTCACCTGCAGGTGAGTCTGAACCGAGTCAGAGCGTCCGATAGCTGCGACCTATGGTGGCCGAGAGGCATCACGCTTCATTCAGAGCCAGAGGTTGTAGGCTCGAGGTTTTACTGTGAGCTGATGGAGACTTGATGTGAGATGAAGAAAAACGACTGACAGCATGAAAGTAACTTCAGTCCTGAGGAACAAACTAATATCTACCCAGGATTTAGATTCTGACAATAAACCTCCGCTAATGAACAAGTTTACATATAAACATGCTTTGTGGACGTTCGATAAAGATGTAATGCTGGTTATTACTGTATAGCTTCATAACAACCTAACGTTACAGATCAAATATAAAAGAGTTTGCTAGCAAACAATGTTTCAATTACCTCTCAAACTTTCCTCGTCCACACATCAATACGCAGTAGGTCTGACGCTAATAACAGAAGCGGTAAAGCCAGCAGGAATTGAGAAATTAGTTTTCCATATGCATTTTAATTCATGATTTCCATTTTTAAGCACATCACAGAGAATCAGATAACGGATAATCAGATAATCTAGAGAACAGTTTTTTTGTTCCCTAATTTTATGAATCGTATAAATGGATTTTGGTTTTCTCATTTCAAAACTAAAA